TCCATCCCCTGCTAGCAATTAAAATGATGAGGCAAGCAGTGAGCCTCCACGGTTTGCAGGTCTCTGCCAGGTGTTCTACAGAGCAGACTCTTTAGAGAGGGGAAAAAACACGGAAGATACAAGGAGAGGCTGAGCAATGCTATCTTGGATCATTTTTGTAATGAGGGAATGGGAAGGTCCTGCTGTGAAGAAATTTGCTGTCCTGCAGCCTTGCAATTATTATAGTCTATCACTGTGAATTGGCAGAAATTAACTGGAGGAAATGAGAAAAGAAAAATGGCTGCAGTTTTGTCTGAAATGTTAATTAGTGGCAGAGTAGAGTCAGATGCACGCACATGAAGTCTATAGAGGTAATTTTTACTCAGCTCCAAGGCTGTGTAGAGCAGATCTGCATTTGTTCAGCTGTGCAGGTAATTAGCAGAAGTGCTCCTCTTTTCTGCCCTCTGAACAAACGGCATCATGCAGATCTATAGGAAGGAAGTTGATGTAGGCATTTGTGTCACTACTGCAGTTTCTTCACACTGGAAATCAAAAACGTATTCCTCACTCCTTGAATTGAATAATTGATTCACAGCGGCAGGAAATTGTCTTTCCTGTGTGCCAAAACCAGTGTTGCTCGCCTGATTGACTTTAGTCCTTAAGGTGTCACCCCTTCATTCATTAAGATCATGAGAATTATTCTGCTGTGGTAATACACAAGCCTGAAAGCCAGTATGTTCCTTTGCTGCACAAATGGAGAGAGGGGCTCTCAAGTTACCCTTGAACAGGACCTCATTGCACTTCACCCTACAATTCTGCTACTAGCCACTGCAGAGCTGTGCTGATGCCGTTTGGTAGACCTGTTCTCGTTCTACATGTTCCCTTCCAGGCAGTATCACTTCTAGCGCAATTCCTGTTCTTATGAACTTTCCTGTAAATTTCACTGCAGATTTGGAGAAGAGCATAATGGCTCCCTGCTATACCTTGCTTACTTTATGTGGCTGGAGTTGGCATAGGTTTTTATCCACCCATTTTGTGTGATAGCTAGGGGAAAAAAACACCCTGGGGAGGAGCTTTTCTGCTCCAGTGTGATCCACCAAAGTCTTTTTCATCCTGTACAACTGTAGAGAGTGTAGGGACTAGAGCCATTATTTTTATCTTTTGGAGATAAATAAAATGTCATCATATTCAATGAGAGCAGTAAAATCTCAGATCACATAGCTTAGATATTTTACAGGTTTCTCTGCAGCTTTCTCTGACATACAGTCAAAAACTTGCAGAGATCAGGCTATGAAGCCCACATTTAAATCACTGGCGAATGCACACTCACCTGGAGATTTTGCATATGAGGCATGAAAGCAGGAGAAATTAATCAAAGCGTATGAAGCCAGGAAGAAATTGGAGATGATGGGAGCAATGGTATTCAGTTCAGCTGTAAGACACACACAAGTATGACATAGGCACCAGTTCCCTAGATTGTTGGATGGCTTTTTCCTGACGATGCATTAAATCTGGACACTGTCTGAATTTGTCTTCTAGGGAGAGCTTGGGTATTTTCCTGTGGTATTAATTTAAGGCCACCGTGATATACCTTCATTCATATTAAGTAGTGTCTGCTGATGCTGATTTTAATAATGTTAGGTGCTATGCAAGGTTACTCTGATTCTACAGACTGGCTCTTAATGATGTAGATCTGGTGTAAATTTCAGAATTTTAAATATGTAATTGAGAGGACAGATGTGTTTCACAAAAGACTTATTGTTAAAACTTACTGTTTTGCTTTTTAAATGGCAATCTGAATTCTCTCTACTAAACTTCCCATTTACTTAGTGTCACACAGTTTGAATTTCAAATCTTGGAAAAACTAATTTAAAAATCCCCACACCTCTAAATATGGTAGTTGGGATTTTCTACCACCAATGCTGACAAACTGGGGTTTGCTTTGGAGCTGACTGTGGGGAAGGATTGGCAGAGTAGGCTTCCTAATTATCTCAGAATTGCCTCAGAGCTATGTGCAATATAAACTGGAAAACCATTTTCAAAGTTGGTGACTTTGCATTATTTGATATAGTTCTAAGCACTGCCCTCTTCTAGCGGAGAGAACAGGAATTGCACCTACTCCGCATCTTTGAAAATCAGGCTATGGTGGCACTGAGATGTTACTAGAGTCCCTGTTGGTTTCTTTTTGCCTTCTTTAAGAATAATGGAATTGCTACCAGGGCTTTGAGTGTGCTTGGGCTTATGTCAGAGCTTACCTGACTGGAAATTTTTCTAACCATAGCTAATCATTGTATTAAAATATCAGTTTGTATAATTTCAAAACGTGAGATTATAGCAGTTGTGTAACGATATACAAACCAATCAAAATGAATGCCATAGCAATGACGAAAGTGAGAACGTATCCCCTGATAGGCTCGTTGTTTTTTCCATATCCTTTGGCAAAGAAGTGGAGCCCTTTGTAGATGTTGTCCTTGCAAAGAGCCTGGTAGACAAATCAGAACTTAATTCTGTTAAGCAGTGCTTTCTTACATCAGAAGTTGTTCACTGTCTGTGAATGACAGCTTGCTAGGCTTTTGCTAAACAAAAATTAAATCTTAGTACTTCAAGTACAGCTACTGCTATGGCACATAAAAATTCAAATAAGGTGATAAGCCAATATCCTACTATATTATTATATAGCGGGAAAACAGAATCACAGGCATTTAATACTTATTCAGTGCTTTAAAAAACGATTAACTGAGTAGCTAAATAGAGTCTATGTTGGCGGAGGCTGAAGCACAAATTGGTGGCTTGGTGTAAGTTGTACAGGTTATCTTTCTGTCCCATGCCCTCTGTTCCCATTCTGTCCACATTGCTGCTGCCCAGACAGCTTCTGGACAGCCTGTCTGAGCACACCTGCCAGCACCTGAATCTTATGGTCCTGAGGGCTCCTGTGCATATTCCTGGCACTCCTGTGCTTACAGGGTGGCTTTCTGTAAGGAGATAGAAGTGGTCCTGAAAGTAGCCTATATAGGATCTATCACAAGCACATGTGTATCCCCCACCCCTGCAGCAAAGCTGAGCTCTGACCAAAGGAATATTATGATCCTAAATGCCCACCCCTGTATGAGGGTGATAAGACCTGCCTATTTCTGTTGAGAAACGTTCTACATGCTGTTTTTCCTGCCTCTTCCTCCCACATGTGTCAGTGTTGTTTAAATATATCTCACATTTGGCACATAGAGTTCAACTAAATTGTATGTCTTTGAAGTAAAATAGAGTATAAGGAAATGGATAGTTTAATTTTACCTGGAAAACTTTGGGTGCGCTGACAAGAGATGCCAGAGCTGATGACAGAGTAGCAGAAAAGATGCCAGCTGTGATGAGAGGACCAAAGCCAGACACCATGCTCATCACCTTTAGGAAAAAAGAAGGAAAAAAGAATAGTCAGGCTTGCATTTGGATACACTTTTTGATCGCAGACCCATTTAAGTACTCTGTTTCTACGTGTGTCTGCTTTTCACGGTCCTAAATTCAATATACTACAAACCAACTGTGAAGTAGGGAAATACTATTATTCCTGTTTTAGTAAAAAGCAATGGAGGCATAGCCAAATTTTTATACAAGTATGCAGCTGTCTGCTGAGGCAGATGAGTACTCCGAGAGATCTTCTCACCTCCTTTACTAACTGGTTGCTGTAAGTAACAGCCTCTACTTGATAGGTAAATAGCCAGCTTGTAGCAAGAAGGGAAAACGGAAACAGCAGGAAAAAGCACCAAAGTACAAAATGTGGTTGGAGGCACTTCTTTGGTTTGGTTTGGATTTTTTTTCTTAATTATTTAATATGGCTAAAAAAGAGAGGAAATGCCTGATTGTGCTAGCATAACAGCGAACAGTAATGATGGTCACCGGCAGGCTTCCCTCAGCCCTCCCAGAGGGGCTGCACTGGCCTCTGCGACCACTGAAGCAAAAGGGTTGTTGAGAAGCACCGGGCAAGGAAGCTAAAAGATTAAGTGGACAGATGTGATTGCCAGATGCTTTTTGGGGTGTAGGAAGTACTCCAGGAAAGAAACCAGTTAATCCTGGAGACTTGTCAGATGAAGACATATTTTTTTCTGACTTTAGTCTGGCAAAGATAAATGCAAGAAGTGAAACTCTCTTTACGGCTGTAGGGAGGTCACTGATTTTAAGGGTTGCCCTGGGTCCGGACGGCTGAACTGAGGTGGGAGAGAGGATGGCAAATGATCAAGAAAGGAAGGAAAAGTAGTCTGTGACAGGGATAGCATATCCCTTTTAAGGTGGTTACCTAGCCCTGTCATTTAGCAGAACCAGCTGGGAAAAAAGCAAGTGACTTTAAAAGCTACAAATGGCTAGTTGAAAAGCAAGTGCAGGTGGGTGGTGAGCTCCTCTCGCGGGCCGTGAAGCACAGGGGCTGAACAGACATATAGGAGCCGTGGTTGTCAGGCTGCAGAAGAACTGCTTTGCTTTGATGCTTTGCCTGAGCTTTATTTTGAAGAGTAAAAATGGCAGACAGTCTCTCGCTGGCCTAGGAGAAAGACCGCTTACTTCTCTCTTACTTGATTTTTCACTCGACTATTTTTGGATACTTTTTTTTAAGAAGACAGAAGTCCATTCTTTGTACCATGGCACAAACCCTTAACAGTGACTGCAGCACCCCTGAGGTAGAATCACATCCGTGTGTAAAGAGCAGTGAGCTGAGTTGCTCATCTGACAGGAGTTCCTGAGGTCTCTGTTAAGTCTAGATTTTGAGTTTGAAGATGTTACAGCACATACTGCTGCATGGTACTTGTTGACAGGGGAGATAAAGACCTTACCAGAGTGCTGGGAAGGCTAGTGTTGGGCAGTACGAAGGTAATGTGGAATGCAGGGGACTTTTCCCTTTGATTATTCTTATAGTTTTTTACTTTTTTAGATAAAAGTGGATGTCCTGTTGCAATTAGTTGTCAGCAAATAATGATTTTGCATGTTTGTACTTATGTATTGATGTATTGCTTATGATTATACATATTATCTCATTAAAACCTGAAAATTATTCATCAGCCCATAACCACATGGCTGACTTGCACATCTGGAAAAATCGTAGCCTAGGCTGCAGGCAGAAGATCCATTGCAGCTCATTCCAGGTACAACTGTATCATTGATGTTCCCAGTAGCATCTCGTACAACACAGGAGGCTGTGGAAACAACGATATATTATTATTTTCCTTCCTTGTGACATTGGAAGAATGTTTTTGCCACACTTTGACTCTTGGTCTGCACACATTTTGTACAACTGCTGCCTTAGTCTCATCCCAAAGAGCAATGTTTCATGTTGGGCAGAGATTACTTCTCTGTATTGTGGCTTAGTTTCTCGTATTGTCTGTAAGCAAATATTTACTTCTGTTACTTTTAAAATAATCAGCCAGTTGACTAATGAGGATTAGCATATTTCTGAGAGTAGAGAACCAGACAGAGATCAACAATAAATTAACTAACTAAGAAATACATTGTCTGCCTGTGACCACTTTCACAACTGCCAGTATTCAAAGGAAACAGGTCAGTGACGGTCTTAGGTCGAGGCATACTTTTTTTTTTTGTTTAACAAGGACACACAATTGCTTTAGAGACCCAGATGCTCAGCTGTTCACATTGTCATAGCCCTACTGATACCAATATGGTGAGAAAAACTTTAAACAGGAGAAACTACCTATATTCTTTTTGTTTTTATTAATATTTATGCAGTCTTTTTTTGTTTGCCACCAGAAGTGGGAAGAAACATACGGAGTTAACTTAGAATGCTGATCTCAACATATTTACGGCCAAAATGTAAGTTTATACGGTATCTTCAAATATATCAAAAGCATTGTTATTGATAGTCCCAAAGTAACCAGTATCTATTTAGCAAACCAATATGCAAACAGAAAGGAAGAAAAAAAGTATTGCACTGAAAAGTAGACAGCTTTGAAGTTGAAATACAGCTATTGCTTATGAGAACAGAACAATGCATTAACACAGATTTATAATAGAAAGTGAAGAATGACTATTTCAACTTTAATTGCAGAAGAAATTTAGATCCAAATAATGCAATAACCTGAGCTGCAGCTTGACTCGAGTATTCTGCCTTTTGCACAAAGTATAAGGACCACAAAAGTCAAGAAGACTTGAGGTTCATCTCTCAGAAAAGGGAGTACCCCGCAGGGCTTTCATGCAGTATTGAGGTATTTGCTCATAAGGAAGAGTGTCATTTGCAACGCTCTTTCTTACGGTACTATTAAAACAGAAAAAGAAAAATCTTTTTCTTGTATAGGGATTTATTGTACACTTGTAATGAGAATTTAATTGCATATTCCTCCAACACAGTTCATGGCTTCAGTACAGGTCTCCTTTTTACTCTTGTGTCCATTTTGTTACCTCACAGTCTGATATTGTAGAGCACCTAGTCACGTAGTGCATCTTCTTTAAGACAGGCAATTGATTTCTGTCTTTGACATATAACACACAAAATGTGTGTGTTACCCTGTTACTCATGAGTGTTCAGTAAGACTAGTGAGACCAAGTAGAAGCCATGTGAAATTTCAATGTGAATGAGGAACAGAAGATCAGCGGATTGATCAGAGGTTCCTTTAATCTTTACTACGCTCATGGATACTATATGCTAATGGTCTTTGTCACTGCATCAAATGCAAAAGTAACCATACAAGTTATACGAAAATCCAGCTGCCAGACAGGGACTTTTGTTTCTGCTGATTGCTGCTTTTTTTCCCACTGTTTTTACATACAGTAAAATCAAACCAACTATCTCTCTATGTAATAAATCCACAGGATGAAAAAGCAGTGAGGTTAATAATTCATTTGCATACCAGGCTTTCAAACTTTTAAAACTGTATAAATTAAGACATGAAGCAGAGGTTCTGTACTTACCTGCACATATTGCAACGGCAATGTAAGCAATTGTTGTAATCACAATGGCCAGCATTGTTCCTTTGGGTATCGCACTTTGTGGATCCTTAAAACAAAGCAGTGACCAAAAAAACACTGTGAGTTTGTGGGCTGCACGCTGTTGCATTTGCATGCTAGGGAGTCCTGCCACACTGTGGTATGAAAATACCTTTAGATGGTAGATTTTTATCACTTAGACCTGCACCAACATTTTCTGTCTCAGCAGGTAGATAGTGAAGCAGTCCTGTGGTGCAGTGCTCCTACCCTGGACATAGTGAAGGATATTCTGCAGGAGCAGAGGTTACGTTTATGGCAGCAGGAGAGTCCTGAGCTCTGCATTGCTGGGAGCTCCAAACTCTCTTTGCATTGCAATGGGCTTTATTTTTATGTTTAATGGTATAATGGGTAAACGGTTACTGAACTAACCATCAAACTCCTGTGGATGACAAGACTGGACCATTTTTGGTTAATTGGTAAGATAGATGCGAATAGTCACCCTGTACATAACATAGTACTTTTGTGATTAGCAACTACTAATTGTTAGTTATGTCTTGACAACAAGCTACTTCCTCTCACTGTTTTGACTTTTAACGTAGATAATTTAATAAGTCTGGGTTATAATGCTTACAGTCTGGCTCACAACAATAGTGGCTTTGATCATGCAACTTTAAGAGTCCAAAGGTCTGCATTATACATTGTAATTTTAAAGGGGATTTTAATACTAGCTCATCTTACAATCTAGTGTGTGTTTGTTTGTACTAGGAAGCACTCTTTATGAATTGCCTTGTTAAGTTGGTTTAGCGAGGTTTTTAAGTCAAAGATGTGCGGAATACATTTTAAGCCTCAGACCTTTGTACTTTTATAACTATGCTCATTGCATGGGGAAAAAAAACCAAAATACAAATTTGGAGTGTCATGTGAAACACGGCTGAATGACTTAACTGTGTTAAGAATATAATTTTTAAATGGAGTAAGGGTTTATTGAACTGAAAAATAATTGCAAAGTCACTTCAGCTGCATAAGACCTTTTGCCCTCAAATCATGGTAACTTTAATTTATACAGTTCTGATGTGCATGTCATCTGTTTTTGTGGAGTCTCATGCTGCAATCTTAAACACTGGAACCTTAAGTCTTAGCATTAAAGCTTCTTACAGCTTTACAACTTTTAAATTTTGTCAATAATTAAACACACATTTAATATGATGTTAGCGCTTTAGGGCCTGCTCCAAAACCCACTGAAGTCACTGGGAAGACTAGCTGTTTCTGTAAGTGGGCTTTTGACTAGGCCAATACTTAAGTGTGTAGCAGCTACAGAAGCATGTACATAGGTGTTTGCAACAAATTCTAAAGAAAGTTTGAGTGATCCGTTTTACACTTTTAAAATACTTTTTAGCTTGTCTTCTAGATTTCTGGAGAGGCTGGTTAATTTAATTAGACCTGTCTAATGCATCTAAACATGCTCAGTGGGGAGTCTGCAGCCTGGAGGACTTGGTTATAGAAATCCACTTATTGCCAGACTGAAACAACCACAGAGAGCCAACGGGAGAACTGCTTCCCTTGGTCTGCTCAGACTCTTTCAAATAGCTTATGAAAGAAGTGCTGCTGCTTTGGGAGCTTGCCATGTATAGAGAGCACCATATATGGCAAAAGAATTATTTTTGTTTGATAAAAGGATGGAGATTGTGTGAGGCTGATTCAGTCTCAGTGGACAGAAGTACAATGATTTTTGTTTTTTTAATTAAAATGGAATCTCATAGACGCTATTAGTGGCTCAGTTTCTACATATTTCTCTCTGTGCTTGGCTTCAAAAGCAGTCCTCTGGAAACAAAGGAGATGAGGCGTGCAACTCAGTGTGAGGAAGGGAAACAGAACTGGCTGTCAGGGTTGGTAGGATTTGGTGAACTTGCATGACTACAGTGGCAATACAGGACAGACCTCTGGTTGAATCCTTAAGGTATACAAGACAATGGGTCTATATGATAAAGCCAAATAACTTCATTTGACATGCTGGGGTTATCAAGGTGTAAGCCACATCTTTTTGGTGACTTTTTTTTTCTTTTTTCTTTTGGGTTTTTTTTGAGTGTTTTTTTTGGCTTTTTGTTTGGTTTTTGTTGTCATTGGTGGTGGGTTTTTTTAGTATTAGATTGCAAGACTTGAGTTATGGATACCTCTGGTGCATTTCTGAATTTCTTGTAATATTACGAAGTATTGCATTGCTCCACATTTACTAGAGATGTTTTAGCAAATGCTTTTCTGAGCTTTGAATTACTTCATCTTTACGTTTAGCTTTAAACACTCTTTGCATTAAATACACTGTGCAAAGTCATGGAAACTAGAGGGCACTCAAAGTTAAAACTAAATTCCTGTCTCTAATTTACCAGTATGTTTAGATACTGGAAATATCATCTCGTACAACTGCTATACTGCAAGAGGAGAGTGAGGACCTGACAGAATGGCCACAGCAAGACAATTGGGCACCCTTGGACCTCCTTTCCCTTTCTTTTCAGACTCCTTTCTTTTGTCACAGCTGCAAACCTGCAGCTTTTCCTTTGAGGAGCAGTAGTGACATGGGATTGGGACATACTTGCTTTCATTAAATGCTCTGTTTGCTCTGCCCTTGCTATGACCCTGAATAGAAAAAGCCAGTCTCCACTGATTCTTGTGAGTACAAACATGAGCTTTACAGGTATGCTTTTTGGGATGATGTTTTAGGAGATTTTGCAAAAGAAGAGTGCCAAGAGATACACGTGTAATTTCTCTTATGTCATGTGCTGCTAATGGACCATTAATGCTATATTATTACAGGTTATTGAAACATGCTTTTAAATGATATAGCAACTCAAATCTGAATGCAGTAATTTGTGTAAATAGCCATAATGCATTATGAGAGAAAAAGTGAACTGATGTTTTCAAATAATAAAGCAGGTACGTTAAAAGTGAGTGTTTTGCTTCCCAAAATAAGACATGATTTAAAACTGAATACAGTGTTGATTCATAATTTGTTTTCTTGTTCTTTTTTCAGCCTACAGCTAGTATTATGAAGTTAATGAAATACATACTTTCAGATCTCCTGAGATATTGGCTCCTGCAAGAATGCCAGTGGCAGCTGGGAAAAAAATGGCAAACACCGAGAAAAATCCTTCTCCACTTCTGAAATCTGGTCCAAAGTTTTCTGCAAATATTGATGCTGCAAATATAGGTGAAAATGAAACATACCACCAGGTTTTGATTCCAAAGTTACTTAGTGAAGGAGGTGAATAAGCTAGTCTTTCACATCTGGACGACTGGGTTTGAATCTGTCTCATATCATAAGCAAAGTGAATTTGATTTCCTTAGTCTGGTCCCCAGTAGGGTGTGCTTGTCTGCATCTCGGAGCTATAGATCCATATTGAAGTGACAGGAGCGTCACTACAGCACTTGCACGTAGCTCTGTGTAAAAGATTGTCTGTGCTCTGCTGATATATAAATGACTCAAGCTGCAGCTAACTGTGCTGTCAGCTTCAGCAGCAGAGAGACAGACTCAAAATTAAAGATGAAATAAATTCCCTTCGTTTGCAAGCTTACTTAAACTTGAGCAGAAGATCCTGATCTTGTGACCTTTTTCAGTGGAATCCTTAACTCAGTATGAAGCCAAAAATAATGCAAACTTATTATTTTATGATAGATAGCAAGGTTACTTGCCTTGGTAATTAAAAAAGCCTCTTGCCTTCTTTTCATTATTGGTAGGAATGACTGTCCCAATAAAGAAGTTTGCAATGGCAACAAGGAGAACAAATAGAAGAATAACTTGAGCCTATTAACAGAAACAAAAAGATTTTCCTGATGATTTTAATTTGCATTGACTGTGGAGATGGCTATATAGCAAGTTATTTGTATGTGTCCCTATGACAGATTACTAATTTCTGTAGTTTTTGAAAATATAAGGAATCAGGATAGCTGAATCGGCTAATGACAACAGCAGATAGTTTTTACTAAGGGGGTTATGAAATATATAGTTATAATTTAATTTTATGTTAGTTTCTTTACAAGAAAAGGCAAAATGAAACAGTGAATGCATTAATATCAAGTATAAGATATTTTTACATTGTTATAAAATTTATAGAATCATAGAATCATTAAGGTTGGAAAAGACCTCTAAGATCATCAAGTCCAACCGTTAACCCAACACCACCATGCCCACTAAACCATGTCCCTAAGCGCCTCATCTACACGTCTTTTAAATACTTCCAGGGATGGCGACTCCACCACTTCCCTGGGCAGCCTGCTCCAAGGCCTGACCACTCTTTCAGTAAAGAAGTTTTTCCTGATGTCCAGTCTAAACCTCCCCTGGCGCAACTTGAGGCCATTTCCTCTCGTCCTATCGCTAGTTACTTGGCAGAAGAGACCAACCCCCACCTCACTACAACCTCCTTTCAGGTAGTTGTAGAGCGCGATGAGGTCTCCCCTCAGCCTCCTCTTCTCCAGGCTAAACAGCCCCAGTTCCCTCAGCCGCTCCTCATAAGACTTGTTCTCTAGACCCTTCACCAGCTTTGTGGCCCTTATCTGGACACGCTCCAGCACCTCAGTGTCCTTCTTGTAGTGAGGGGCCCAAAACTGAACACAGTATTCAAGGTGCAGCCTCACCAGGGCCGAGTACAGGGGCACGTTTAGTTGCAGTTGTTTAGTTGCAGTGGGTTGTCACTTCAAGGGTTATAATATCTAATTGTTTTTCTGATCTCTTTTACAAGTAGTTCTAGTCTCCATCACAGCAGAATGTAAAAATAAGGGTGCTATTCTGGACCTGATTTTGATAGCTGTATTCCACCCTTTAAAGTATTTGTATTTGAATTTCCATTTTGAACTTTTTTTTACAGGTGAAGGAATAGCAGAAATCATTAGATGGATAGCAAATACGAGTTCTTCTGCTGAGTAGGGCTTGAGAGAGTACAGTGAGAAAATCATACTGTTTTTACTACTGTTTATTCTGTTGAGCTGCATCAAAAATAAGGGCAAAAGGGGCACTTACCGAAGGCTCTAAATGATGCCATGAATTATAAAAATCAATATAATCAAGCTGTCTGCAGAACACAAACTTCCTCTTCCCTTTTAAATGTATGTTCAAGGAAGAGCATGGAGTAATTGTGCTTTCACTGAATGTAACGATTAAACTGCTATTGCTTTTAGAAAGATTAAGCACAAACTGAAACTGAGTGCTTTTGAAAATTCCACCTGTTGTATGGCATTCCTCACACACAAATGCTGTACAGTAGTCTAATATACTGCTTGCTTTTATGTTCTTTTAAAGGTTTACCTTTGCTTCCCATTCCATGCCAGCAACAGAGATGCCGAGAAGACATACAACAGTTATGGTACCTATTATTCTGATGTCATTGGACTCATCTACCATCAGTGTATCACTTTCCTGAAAACAGTAAGAAATGTTATTAGAACCAGTCTTTCTCTGCCCAACTGGTGAGATCACCTGTCAAAGTTTCAGAGATTTGTGAGACCAAGTGTTTGTATTTCATGTTCCAGCTGGCTCTTTGTAGTTGGGGTTATTTGGCTGTCTAATTAGATGTCTGTTCCTTTTCTGATTTTGAGATTCTTGTTGAGAAATGTATGAAATATATTCATAAGGTAGAAATAATGGAGAAGCACTCTATGGCATATTTAGACAGACCAGCTTCTTCCCAGCTAAAGATATCCCTCAAGCCTCAGGTAAAAAGTATCACCACTTAAACAAATATATAAACCAAACAAAACCCAAACCAAAACACATCCCCCACAAAACAAAAAAACCCAAACCAATTTAATCATATATATGAAACATCTACATTTACCTTAAGAAGTTCTACAACTGTTTCTGCAAATCCAACTACATACATAGCAACTGCCACTGCGTTTGCAAAAGCAAATATAAGTCCTATAGATCCACCAAACTCTGGGCCTAGACTTCTTGAGATAAGATAGTATGCTCCACCTGCAGACAGAAATAATTGTTATTTCAGCACAACTAAATGCTCACGTTTTGCTCATTTTTCTCACATAAATAATACCGCAGGAATCTGCTTTTAGGCCTAACAAACATAATCGATATTTGCCCTATATTAATAGAGGACACTGATAAAAAAAGGAATGTGCTTTGTACTGGTTCTGCCTTCAGACTTTTCAGTATGCCTTTCTGTTGCAGAAATCTTTTTAGTGCATATTAGCATGCAAAACTGGACCTTCAAATAATTTTTCGTGATACATAATATAGTAACACAGAGCAGAGAGAACCTCACTTCCAGGCAGGTTCTAACTTACTAGGATCTATCCTAATGTTAGCATCAAAGATCATATTCTGTGGTACATTGTTAAAACCCCTGCATAGTGCTACAGTGAATCTTTAATCTTTTTTGCATATCACCGTAAATGGAGCACATTACTTTGGCAGTTAATTATTTCATCTCATCTCACTGGCATTTAATATTTATTGTCAAGAAGTGTTTAAGATTATAGACACTTTAATTTACTGTTGATCCATTGAGAGAGATCGCTCCAAATATATTTATTTATTATTGCTTTGCTTATAACACAGTTATCTCAATTCCATATTTTTTTTTCTAATCCAAATCTGCAGATTTTTGTATTTTTCATGAGATCATGTTCACTTACCTCCTCTTACTACTCCATTAGTGCAAATGGCAGACATGGAGACACCTGTTAGTGTTGTTACTACTACACTCAGACCAATAACTATGATTCCAAGACCTGAAAGATCCGAAAAAGAACTTATATTCAAGTATATTCAAATACCTGTTCTGCTTAAATGATGTAGTAAGAACTTTTCCATTTTCCACAGAGGTTAGAGCAGACCAGTTACAACTTTAAGGCTCTGAAATGCACTAAAACTTTGTTTCATAAAATACCTGTCATGCACTTTTCCAGCAAAATAATTTACTCATCTTCCAAGGAGTGGCTGAAATGTAAGGAATTTTATAAAGAAGGTATTAAATTGAAGATATCCACTGATCTGCATCAATCTTTAAAATGAGAGGAAGAGATGCCTCATGCTCCGTTTGTCCAAGGATGTCCAATCTGGAATGCTCTGAATAAAAAAGACCTGCTGAAAGGTAACAGAAGAACTCCATGAAAAGCCAGAAGCCATCCGTCGCTCAGCATTAGGCAGGAACATCTGAAACGTACTTTACAGACTGAACTGAAATCTGGGATTTATTAAAAGTGACAACTCAAGCCATAAATTGTGATTAGAGGTGGCTAAAATTGTTACCTTCCAGTTCCTTTAGATGTACCATTTGGTTTATTGTCCCTCTGGTTTGCCTCATATGAAAATAATACATAAAGACCTTTTTGGGCTTGAAAGCATTAGTAACCCTAAGATTTTTACCTCCACGGACAAACCCATTAGTTGCTATTGCAGAAGTTGACAACCCAGTAATTGAGGTTACCATCGTGGCGAGAAGAATTATGATTACTCCAAGACCTGTCAGTAATAAGAAGATAAAATATTTTACTCATGTTCCATGATTTCTACAAATCATTCTCTCTTTAAATTGAATTTTCAGGCCAGAATCAGAGCAATAAACTGAAAAGATGGTTTGTTGACCACTTGCAGTTTGCAGAACATTTCCAAGGAGTCCATGTCATGGTAGTAAATTACTCCCATCAGTCTTCAAGCAGTGATTCTTTCTGATAGGAGTACCCTAGCCAGAAGCTCTCATGATGTTCAAAGGCTGGAGGAAATGAGCAAACAATTGTCCCTTGGCATGGATGCTTATATCTGCCTTTAATATACATCCTGGCTGTTTCAGTGAAGAGATCGACACATTAACCAGAGCTCTTGTAAGAATGCTGCTGTACTTCATCAATTAGTTAAATATTGAATCAGAGAAAGACTGACTGTATAGTTTCATAGTGCACCAGGACAAAGAGTCTATCAGATAGAGAGACAAGACCTGAGTGCGAGCCTTCTATATCCTTACTTGCCAAGGTATCAAGTGCTGCGCTTCCCCACTCTCTCCTCATCTCCCTCAAAAAAATAGTTTTACACTAACACAAACCAAACATTTGAAAATGGAAATACTGCTTTTTAAATGTTGTTTACTTTAACAGGTGACCTGTAATGTGTAATCTTAGAGAACTTAGAATCTTTTTTTTTATAGCTGATATCACAAAATTGTATAATTAAACAGAAATAATCAAACATCTGAAGATCAGTGATAGGTGATTAGTGATAGGTGAACTGGGTTTCAGTTTGAGTAAGACTCTGAAGTCTGAGTGTGTTTCCAATCTTTGGCTATATGGTCAGGTTTCTGTTAACTTTGTGAAACTGTGCTAGAAACTAGAAACTATATGAGCAGGAGATGCCTGGTATGATTTAGAATCATAGAAACGTTGGTTGGAAGTGACTTCTGAAGGTCTGTAGCTCAGCCTCCCAGTCATAGCAGAACTATTGCCAACACAAGATTAAATCAGTGACGGCTTTGGCTAGCTAGGTCTTGAAAACCTCCATGGACAAAGATCTCTCTCTGATTATGTTCCAGGGCTAGACTACCTGCCCAGTGAAAAAGTTTTTCTTTGGGTACAAACTGGACCTCCCAAGCTACAATTGTGGCCATTGCTTCTGTTATACTTTCTGGCACTACCAAGGAGAGTTTGGCTCTGTAGTTCCAGAATACTTTCTTCTTTCAAGTCAGGTGAAGAAATACTATTACATTTTTCTCTCAACTTTTTGCTTCTATTCCCATTTGTTTCTATAGGAGGAGGGGAAAAAAATGGAAAAAAAAAGAAACAATTACAGTTGGGTGCCAAACGTGGAATCAGTTCTTAGTTTTATCTGAACTTGCTAACGCTTATGCAATAGCTCTCTTGTTTCCATAAGGTACATACATCTTCGGTGTGGAACTGAAGATTATACATTGCTTGTAGCAATATTTATTGACTAGGGCTCTCCATATTGAAACTGGGATCCTACAACTGACATCCAGCTAGAAGTACTATAAACATATTGATTTATTGGCTGTATTTCTACCTTCTGGCTTCCAGATCAGATTCCTGACTTCAGTTCCTACTGGATGGTTATAGACATCCAATCCCTGAATGAATGTTCTTTGCTGCTTAAATTATAGCCATGTTATCACAATCCTTTAAGATAGAGCAATGTAATGTGTGAGATATAAATGATATACAACATTGTGTAGGATATTTAAAGTGATTTGAGCCTCTAATAAATCACGTTTATCCTATTGATTTCTGAACTCTTACTATAACTAGTCATGCACCTATTTTGTGTGCAGGTCTGTATAAAAAAAATCCAGATGGTCGTTCCTTTTGGTCAGCTACCATTACATAGAAGGATATTTTTAAACCATGCAAATTTTGTGCCTGAGAAGTGGCTGAATATGACTTTTAATCAGCTGTTAACTCTTAAATTGAATGTTAGACACATTATTCTTAAAGTAGTTTTAAAATTATTTGGTAAGTGCGTGTGCATCCTAAGGAGAATTTTTCCAGGATTTTCTATTGCATTTCACAATTCATGTTGTTAACGTGTATATGATAAATAGGGTCAGATATTTATTTGATGAGTAATATCTGCTTAGGAAGGCTTTAATGTTAATTTAAAAAAATATTTTAACATTTAAGAAGAAAAGTGCATAAAATGAAGTGACTCAACCAAAACATCATTGTAATACAATGTAATGTAACATAATTGTAATATTTGGGGCCAGATTTTCAGTTAACGTAAACTTGGCTAACCGTTCCACGTATAGGTACAAATACAGACTTCAGAGAGTCCCCAGATGTTAGGTGAAATACCAGACTAGTTTTGGACCTGGAATCTTGTCAGGACCATACTGTACCTTTTTTCCCAGCTGATGATAAACAAGGAACCTTGTTGGAACATTATTTTTCTCCTGTGTAAGAGCTTTTGCCCAAGACAGCCTATCAGGAGATGGAAATAATTGGGTTTTCTCTCTTTGGCCCTCTAATGATGGGGATATAAATGGTGCCCAGATGGAGGTTTAACCGATTCATTTAATTTCCATGTTAGTAGCGGTACCCACTGAAATCCCCGAGCCTTGGTGATGATGAGCTTCCATCACTGTTCTCTTTAAGCAGCTTGGCTAGGGACTTAAAGCTCATTGCTTATAAGACATTCAGAAAATGCATTGAGAAATTATTCAAATGGAATTTGATGTCTCATTTTCAGAAGTAAAACTAACCTCCTTACATAAGGCATGCAATTTTAAAAAGCAACAGCAGAGCAATAAACCATAAGAAAGGAGGGCCTGCTTATCAATGAATTAAAATGGTAAAATTAAATGTGAAAGCAGAAAGGCTGTAACTGATGTTGGTGCAAATTAATGTTTAAATCTGATTAAAGTTTAGATTGAAACCCAGGCATATGGCTGCTAAGTAAGTTGTTGTAAAATGAATTACTCTTGCCTATGGCTATTCTCACACCTCAAAACAAAGTAATACTTCTTGATGATCTCAATAAGTTACTAAACTGCCCTTAAAAACTAATTTTGCATGAAACCCCAGAGCAAAGTCTTGGCAATATTAAGATGCAGAATTTTCATGGCAAGGCATATACTTATGAGTGCCCTGGGCTGTACGCTCTCATTTGGTATGCATCATAAAATCAGCAAGCACCCCTTTGTCAGGCACAGTGCTAGAGCCACGCATGGAGCACTGCAAAAGTAGGTAAAGTTCTTCCCCTTAGTTCTGTAACTTTTATTGTTTGGGGGTTTTTTTCTGTTTATATCTCTCTAAGTTTGTGGCTGGATTTTTTTCTTAATAAGCATTTAATTTGTTTCTCTTTTTTTAAAAGCTCAGTCTTGCTCAAGTGAAACTTCTGTGAAGTTACTGTATTTTGTTGGAAATGAGACTTCAACCGTGCAAAATTTTGGAGATGTTTTGATTCAGTGTTTCATTTCACTTCCATTAACAAGGAAGTGAATGGTATTTATATTCAATCTAAATTTGAGCACTGAATTTTATCCAAGACCAGGAGAGCTGATGCCCTGAGTCCAGAGTTTGGACTCCAGCTCATGTCTACTTGAAGTTTTCCATTCAGTGAGAATCCAAACTGGAATACCTGCCATCCACCTTTTGGACTGCTGTTTTTTATGACATCTGGGTGCCAGCCAAAGATTAGGGCCCCGTTATTCTAGACTGTATGATCACGTAACACAGAGTGACACTGCCATCACAGTTCACATTTCTGTGCTTCCCCAGAGCCGCAGCTCTGAAAACGAAGTTGTACCACACAGCAGCTATTGATATGTTGCACCTTACTGAGCTGCTCTTCTAGTTGCTGGAGATTCTTGCAGTGTTGTGAGCACTTTCCTCCCTCACTGGTTTCATTGAACGCTCAACAACATGCTGGACGGAGGCCTTGGGGTCCAGTCTCCCACGGACTGGGATCTGGGGTTTGGATTAGTTAAATTGCACAATGAAGAATCAAAGATACAGCACACAATGAAGTGTACGTAGTTAATTTATATGAAAGCTGTAGCAGAGATTTTAAAACTTAGTGTTTCATAGTACACTAGTATCTAGTGCTGTGCTATAGTTAAAAATAACAAAATCCTGATGAGATGAGACCTCCTTCCAGTTCTGTTTTCATCTTTGCAGAAAAGTGTGAAGAAGCGTTGTTTTTAATATGTAGATGACAAGGTTTGGGATTCACAGATAGCAAAGTGTGAACTCTTAAAGGTTAACTTTGTATGCACATATTAGAAATTGGCCCGAGTCATGAAGTTTACATCTGTTACAGGATCTAAATACAAATTTCACTAAAGCTTAGAAATATTCAAATGTGATGATCATATGCATAGTTAACAGATCTATGCCTCTAAGCAGTAATTTGGCTGCGAGTCTGGAAAATTCCAATAGTTTGGAGGATTAACATCTTTTACCCTGGCAAGCATTTGAAAACATTATTTAGTTCAACATGCAAATGCACATCTCAGATTATATATTAATCATGATCATGTATAGTTTATCCTCTTTATCCCTTTCACTGTTGAAAATGATATTAAATAAGATACATACCAATTCCTGCTTGACCTACAATCCAGGAAAGTCGAATAAAAAGCATCACACCCCAAATATTAAGCATACATCTTACCTAGGTTTTAAACAAAAAATACTGCATTAGTGCAAAGTTGAAAGTAGTGTTAACAACCAGAGGGGTGATACTGTGCATTGCAGGCTTTTAAAAAGCACCCCAAACATCCCTCAAGTCCACCTCCCTCTCTTACTTCTTAAAAGGCCTTAGTGTTGCAGAGCTAATCTTAAAGTTTATTTTCTTTTAATTTTTTTACAAATGCAGATAAGTTTCTCACCAGCACACCCTTCACCCATCCAAACTTGACAAATCCTGTTTTGTTTTCTTCTTCCTTGCTGACTGCTGTCTCATCTCCAGCGGTGCTTTCTCCATTAGCCACTCTCTCGACTGAGCCAGTGCTCACGGCTATGTTCTGAAGGATCACAGAGAAAACACATACATTTTTGTGCCAAGCAGAGGACACCTGGCTCCATAAGAGAGACATGGAATAAAGGAATTCCAAAGAAGATCAGGTTTTACTGTCTCTGGAGTAGCGTGCAATATTCTGCTTACACCAGGCATCAGCAGGTGGGCTTGCTAACAGCGAGAAAAGATGAAAGAATTGTTTAAGCAGAGTAAATTATTATCTGATACTAAATTGTTTTTATTGCAAATTGTATTCAACATATATGTTGTGTTGATATGTTAGTAGAGCATCTAATATAATGAGGGTCTCGTGGTTGGCCTCTACATGCTGCTGCAACAATTTATGAATAATGCTAAGTGTAGAAACGGATAATTGCTCACTAGTGAAAAGAGATCTAGCTGAGTGCTGCATGGCAAAGTTATGTGATGAACTCTGGTGTTTCCTGTTGGATAAAGTACAAACATAATTACAGCAGCGAATAGGTAACATATTCTTGAAAACAGTCAAAGAAATGCCAGTGAAATGTAATAAATAATGCAGTAAATGAATAATCCTTTCTGTGGTTTAGCCACCTCTGGTATAACCATAGTAGATAGGATTAGGAATTGCCATATTTGTGGTGTGACCAGAATAAATAGCCCAGAATTTTAGATTGTTCACATCCAGTTACAGATATAAATCTGTATTTTATCTCTTCAGCTCTTCTGCCCCAGAATCTTTGAGGCAATTTAGTATCATGATATGTTTCTTGTGGCTTGAATAGTCACGGTACTGAGGTTTATATTCGTTGTCATTGCTGCTTTGTTTCTTTTAATTTTTTTTTCGTACAAAGTTTTGACTGGTTTTGCAAGGAGTTGGCATTAGGTTAACTATTGTCAGGTATTGTCTGGGTCCTCTGCAAAGACCTTCAGGAAGGACCATGTACCTTGCCATAGCCTGGCAGAGGGTCAGGAGCGTGTGTCACTTCTGGAGAGGAATCAAGATGCTTTTAGGGTTTGGATGGGGGGGAAGATATTTCTGGATTAATTAAACAGGTCAAGGAGGGAAAACATCTGTGATTCTGTGAAACATATGAGGTTTTTTCATCTTGCTTAAGCTTCAAGGCTGTTTCTGTATTTTGTCCATGGACTTGAAAAAACCCAACAAACAAAAACAAAACAGACATAACGACCAACTGTATATGACACTTATGCTCATGTTTGGACTCCCCCCTCATGGACGAGGGCTCTAGCCACTATGATGCAAGGTTGTAGAATGCCTTTGACACAGTAAATCCAGGATTGTGCTCACAAATGAGAAATAAGTGACTGGATAATACATTGCGACATGGATTAAACTTGGTGCCTATGGCCTTTTGGCCCTACGTGAAATGGGAATACAAGATCTATTGAAAGCCTGTGACTTTGAGCTCCTGAGTTACTTAGATAATTTTGACAGTTCTTACCCTAAAATAATAATGGCTGTGTTTGCTCAAAATACAGTAAATTATTAAAGTGAGTTAAGGAAGATTAGCAGAATAATATGAGGGGTTTTTTGCTACAGTGGTTAGAATTTCAAAGAGAAAAAAAATAAAAGGGTTTGGTCCTTGTACTTGAAACAAGTTGTTTCCTATGTACTTTTGAATTAATTTGTGCTCTTTATGCCATTATCATAAATTATGGCCTTAAACCTTCCATAAATGCATTTTAAATTGGTGTGCTTTAGTAAATGATTGGTTATTTACCAAGCAGCTGTACCTGTGCTATTCATGCATTAAGGATGTAGAATAAAAGTGACAGAACATTTTGAAAAGCTACCAAAATAAAAAGTTAACTGCTTTTAAAACAAAAACAAAAAACATTTTCCTTTCATTGTTTCAGAACAGTTTAGTCTTCATCTCTCCTGGGGCTAAAGATGATGAGCTCATCAAGTCTCTGTAACAAGTGTGGAGAATAGCCAAGATGAAGAAAGGTTAGATGATTTCTTATGTAGGGTAAATATTAAGCCCAAGTAATTATCACCAGTCATCAGCTGTGAAATAGCATTTAGACAATTTTTTAGGGATTTAATTGGCGTTTTGTGGCTTAATGTGTGCAAAAACTGACACGTCTTGCTAAAAGATGACACACATTTGACTCCAGCAGTGTGGGAACTAGATATTTGAAGTTCCTTTCAGCCTGCCTTACATTCTGACATTTGAAAAATTACATGTTAAAAAGATGTATTAAATATTAATATTTGTCTTCTGATGTTAAGCCCAGCATCAAAGCACGTTGGGAATGCTTATGTGATGTTTAGAAATCTGAAGTCAAACATATGTCAGTTCTTATCAGAATCTGGCAATAGGCTTTTGACAGGACAGTTGTCTTCAGCAATTTGAGTTTCAAAAAACCTGGGGTCAAGGTGGGTGGGATTGCCTTGGGGTATGGTGTGGTTAGCCTAGATTTTAGTGTTAAAGTAAAAAGGAATAAAGCATCTTCTCCAGAACTGCATCTTGGGCTATTACTCTAACCCCCGTACACACTCAATGTGGCATTTCATCCCTTCCTTAGTGGTGGCTAGAGAGCCTGCTGCAGGCTGGGGCTGGTTGATAGGCACCCCGTCCAGCTGCACATACTGCTTTTGCCTCCTGATGCGAGCTCAGCCTTTTCATACCATCTTAATTCCCTTCCCTACTAATCTACTATTTGGTGACCTCATGTTTGTTTATTCTTCAGAATAAGCTCTGTAGACCGAAGTGATTTGTCCAAGGTCACAAAGTGAGTCCATGGGACAGCCAGGAATAGATTCCAGCCGTGCTAACGGTGGCTCATTTGTTCCAGTGCTGTGGTTAGTGGCTCCCAGACCAGGGCCACAAATCACATAAGGGCACAGTGGGTTGCCAGTGTAACAAAAATCCCATTACCTCTGATATTCACCTTCCTATTTTGAGAGGATAAGCTGGATACTGGAAAAACTCTAGGAACAACCAAGCTAGGTGATGCTCTTTTCTGTTCCCTAACAGTCCCAACCTGTGAAGCAATTTTCCCTTCATTTTATTCTGGCATGGAATCTGCCATCTTTTTAATCTTCTTTAAGGCCTTAAAAAACCCTAAACAAATTTATCTAATTTTGTTTAAAATAAACAAACCGCTGAGAGATGCAACAGCAAAACCCCTGAATTTTCTGGTAATGGTCAAACCTGAAAATCCCTTAATATGCTAATGTTCAGTACATGCTCATTCAGCATTACACTCAAAGCCAATACAGTTTTTCTCCTCTCTGGCCCCTATCAAAGTAAATTATTTCTTTAAGAGGAAGTTTCTTCTGGGCATGGAAATGTGTTTAGTCCCTTGAGTAGCAGCTTACACATTTGCAAATGAGTAGGGATACCAAATTCATATTCTTCCCTTTTCACATCCACTTTGCATTCATTTTTGGAAATAAATGATGACCCAGGTAACCTGTTTCTCCTTTCTATGTAAGCCATTCTATGCAGGTCTGTGGAGATCTTAATTTAAATTAAGTCAGGCCAAAACTAGGAAGCTGTCCTAATAAGATCCTAAAGAATCAGGTCCTAATTTCCTAATGGCTATTTTTTTGCTTGATTTCTTTACTTTATATTAATCCTCCTTAGGACAGGTGAATCTCCAGAGAACTGGAGTTTGAACAAGATCTGGACCAGCATCCAAAAATCAGATGCTTGTCCAAATTATTCAGACCTCAGAAGTATGTAAAACTGAGTGGAATGGTGTTGAGAGCATGTTTTCTCTGGAGATTTCTTAAATTACTATTGCCCAACACAGAAAAAAAATAGGGGGTTTTGCTGCATATTGACACATTTAATCTGAGTTTGACTATAGAGGTGATATCTTTCTTTCCAGCCCTGCCCTGACAAGTGCACAATTAAGAACCTCAAAAAAGGTTTGATTTTAATTCTGTAAGTAGGTGTATCCTGTGTCTCTCCTCTGCTTTTTACAGAGAACTTGGTATTGTGGCTTAAGGGGAATTTTACCAAAGTCAGTAGAGTATCATATTATTCCACTGTTTTGCAGTAGGTTTTTTAGTAGTTTAACTTTTTCAAAATACTTAATCTAGTTGTTCCTGTCCCCAGAAGTTCTCATTACAGCTTTCCACACTATTTATTTTGCATGGAAGTGATTCTTCGATATAGGGAAATCAAGCCTTAAAAGATCTAGATAGGTGACAGCAAAATTCACCTATCTACCTATCTGAAGCACTAACACAGCAGTTAGTGAAAATCTGGTATTTGAGACTTAATATTACCAACTTCTGAAATTCTTTCCTGTGGAAGTTTTCAATGTGCAAACTCCAAAAGATTATACCTGACTAATGTATATTTTTCCGGCAAGTAGCCATAGACAGTGACAAAAGTGAGGATTATCATGATAAAGGGCATGTTTTGGTATTTCGTTATTCATTTACTGTAGTGCCTATGTGGAAAAAAAATAAAGCAAACAGGAAGAGTCTGCTAGGGGAAGTTATTTCCGTGAAAGCCACTGGTCATATGTATCAATAGTAAACTCCTACACTGTTTTAACCAAAAGTAAGTCCACTCGGAAAGGAAGAGGAGAAACAGCCCTAGAAAATCTTTTAAAGGCAGGTTAGCCAGTTGTATCCTGTTCGGTAGTTCTCTCCCTGAGTGTATTTTACATGGATATAGTCCCATCTATTACATGAGCAAAGTCTAAACATTCTCTATGTGATAGATCGGGAGGAATTTAGCCAAATTATTCCACCATAACTGCTTTCTATGTAGTAATTCAAGAGGCTCTTCCAATTCTCTCCAAATTCACTGGTATAATGAGCATGAAAGCATAAATTCGTTCACTGAATCAGTACCTGAATAAGTACCTGAAAAGTGTTGTCTGCTATCCCTCTTCTGAGCAAACGCTTTCAACCTCAGCACCCTTGTTCTGTTTGAATGGTTTGTTACAGCAATAAACAGGTAGTGCTTTGGATTTCTGATTAGTTGAAATTGCATTTATTGCACGTAAGGTTTTTTGTAATACTTATATATATTCATGAATACAACAGAGGAATCTGTGGAACTTAGTTATGCATTGGTGTTAAATTCAAGTTTAGAATAAGTGTGAATTGTGTAGCTTGGTTAAATTGTGAATTGACATTCATCATCTGCTGTTCTAACTGTTAAGTGAAAAGGAAGAGATTCAGTAGTTTTATACTTTTAGACAAGATTAAGCATGTTTTTTTGCTAATCAAGTACATTACTATCATCTTTTAACAAAAATCTTTGCTTTGAGCTGGGCACAGGGCAGAAAACATACTGCAGCTACCAAAGGAAATATGATAGGTGATTACTTGTTCTTTTTCTCTTGGGTGAGGTCCATGAATTTAAGGACTTGCTCATATTAATAAACAGAATTAACAGCCTGGAAATGGAATAGAGAAAATTTGTATCTTTCCTTTCCACTTACCTTTGCCAGTTGTTCATGAATTTCTAATAAGCTTGGTCTGCTGAGCTTATTCCCACTGACGCTGCCAGTGTTTCTATAATAATCAATTTTGGGAACTGGGTCCACTGTGTTATGGCCAAAAGTTTGTAGATAGTACATTTTAGTGTGAGTATCATAGGGATGTAAACTAGCTTCTGTTTTCTCCCCATTTTGAAGGAAATTGTCATATAATTCTCTTTTTCCTGGTCTGTAACTGATTCTCAGTCTGTTATGTGCTTCGTCAGTAAAAGATGTTTCTTCGTAATGTGGTGGGTCAGAGCCCACATCCTCTTGGGACGTTTCATTGTTGTCATGGCTTTCATTAATTATGTTAACTTGAAATCGATTTGCATTTGGATCCAAGAATACATTTGGCGAATTATTCATTGACATCTTCAGGGAGGCTATCGACTTAGGTCACCGATCCGTTTACTCTTCTGTGGCTGCAGCTAGTTACTTGCAGCTACAGCAAAGGGTTTAGTGCTGTTGCATATGAAATCTTTGCTCTTAGAGTAACAAAGTTCTGAGAAATCTTTTCGGAAATCTCTAAGCAGTCTTCCTAATGTTGTCCGCTGCGTTTCTGCCATAAAAAATATAAATAAAACATTTCTATTAACTTGCACAGTTAGATAAATTTTCCACCGTAGCTCTCCCCCTGCTTCACTAAATATCCATGAGACGGTCATTCTGACTGACTTGTTGAGTAAAAAAATAGTTGAGTCAAAGACTGAGTTTGTGGGGATGTTTCCATCTGTGACGGATGCGCTCAACCCCTTGACCAAACTAGCAGTGGTTTGGTACAGACTCCCAAGGAGGTAAAGGCCTAAGCCGTAAACAGGCCAAGAATTCCTCTAGTTTCAATCTGTTCTCTGAAAACCCACGGAGGAGCAGAGTGACACAGTGAGCATTGATGCATATGAGCTTGGAACACCAATCATGCGATTTACACATGAATAGCGAGTGGCTTTTCCAAGACTCATTTATCAAGGAACAAAGTAAGTTGTGGGTGCAAGGAGTCTCATGCATGCCTTTTCCATTGCATGTAATTTGACAAGCCAACCACTTTATTCCATAAATATGACATCCTAAGTGAGCCTTCTTTGAGCTCTCCCAGCTAAGCAGCCTGGCTGCATGGCGGTGATCTTCCCTTGAGCTGGGATGCCTCTCAAGGTTGCTCCTCGAGGCAGAGAGACCTTTTGCCAACAGCAGATCTTTGGTAAGCGACCGATATCGTGCATAACCTTGTAGTATGGTAACTTTGATTTGTGCCTTGGTAGTTTTGAATCATTGTTCAAATGATTGTGCATACAGTAACAGAGTGAACCTTGCCATCGAACTTTGTTAAGTTGCATTTTTACAACATCCTATTAAAACCACTTTTGCTAATACCTTTGACAGTGATTCTTTAAGCAATCTAAATCACCCATTTGCGACAAATTGGTGTAGTTGGCAGGATTCTAAATGAGGATTCACAACACCATCTATATAAAATGGGCTTTGGATCAGATCCTAAGTACCTAAAATTGATTTTCAAATATAGTAATTATTTTAATAGTAATTATTTTAATAACGCAACCTTTAATTGAAGCCAGTGAAAGTGTAGGCAGTACAAGGGATGTATGACACAAGATTCCATGAAGTCCATTTACTGTTTTTGTTCCACTTAAGTATTATGATACCATGTATATTTCTCTCATAGTCTAGAATTAAATTTGCATGAAAAGCTTGAATCAAATACATGTTTTTAAATTAACTACAAAAGCTAGGCTTTAAGTTTTCAGTAGTTCCAGGATGGAGACAATTTATGAGCAGGCAATTAAGATATAGCAAATTGTTCATTTTTTATGTAAATAACATTAATGTAATATGAAGGACAACTTAAATAGATCCAAAAATAGCATTGGGTTTCCTAAATTATAATGGAGGAAATAAATGACTATGGTAAAGTAGTAATTATTGAGAAATATTAACAATAATCCTAGGCATTGGAAAGTTCATAGAATTTTACACTCAATTTTATATTTGTACACTCAAAACACCCTTTAAGATGGTTTGAAAGAAATTGTAGCAAGTCACGGAATCACGCAGTTTGGAAGGGACCTTGGGAGCTTATCTAGTCCAACCTCCCACTCAAAGCAGAGGGAACATTTAATGTAAATCAGGTTACTTAGGGCTTTCACCAGTCAGGTCTTGACATCCTCCAAGGACAGATTCCACAACCTTGTCAGCCTATTCTAATACTTAATTGTTCTCATAGTGTTTTTTTTCCTGTATATCCAGTTGGAACCTTCCGTGTGTCACTCTGTGACCATCATCTCTCACGCTCCTGCTGTGCACCTCAGTAAAGAGCATGGCTCTGCCTTGTCAGTAACCTCGTAAGTATTGGGGGGGCTGCTTAGGTTCCCTTAATGCCTTTTCTTCTTCTGGTTAAACAAGTCCTGTTTCCTTATAGGGCAAATGCTCCTGCCCCTGACCGTCTTGGTGGGCCCCCATCAGACACACACAAGTTTATCAACATCTTTCTTACATGGGCAGGTGGGGGGGACAGGTAGACAAACTTAGAAACTGGGTTCCAGGTGCAGTCTGATGAGTGCTGAATAGAGGGGAATGATCACTTTGCTTGATCTACTGGCTATGGTCCTGTTAACACAACCCAGGACGCTGTTCACCTTCATTGCTCCCAGGGCATGGTCCTGACTCCTCTGTAGCCTGCTGCTCACCAGGTCCCTTCCAGGAGAGTTGCTCCTGGCCAGTGAGGCCCCAGCCTGTACGGTGCAGGAGTTTAGTCTGTCCGAGGTGTGGGATTTGCATTTGTCATTGTTGAATGTCATGAGATTCCTGTTGGCCCGTTCCTTTAGCCTGTCTAGGTCCCTCCGAGTGGCAGCCCATAGAGAGGTGAAAATATGATAGCTGTACAATCTGCTTCCCACCTCCACTTTCCCACACAGACCCCCTCAAAAAAACAAAGCAAGCAAACAAAAACCCCAAGAGCAAAAGGGGTACTTATATTTAAGGCCTTTAGTGGGTTAAGTACCTTTGCAGCAACTTACAGGGTGGCCTAGATGGCCCTGAAATGAGCTATTGAAACAATGGCAATCCATATGTCTTGAAACATACTTCTAAGGAGATAAGGGAGTGTGATTGTATAGACCTGTATAATTCAGTAGAAGTCCAGGTCTGTTCAAACTGACTAAAACAGACCATGCTTAGGCATTGAAACTCTGCAAGTCTATGTAAAAGCAGAAAGTTTTAGAAACAAAGTATACCTATATAAAGGAATATATGAACTGAAAATCTGGGTAAATAAGCCCATAAGATGCATTTTTTTAAAGTTTTGTGCTTTCATAAGAGGTGGGACTAGATGACCTCCAGAGATTTTTTTCCAATTTAAATTTCTCAGTGATTTTGTGAAATGCATTTGGCCCTTTAGCACTGAAAGATAGAATACCGCATCAATATTTATACCTCGACAATGTAAATTTTCTCTAAAATCACATATCAGAATTAGAATTTGAAGAACTGATAATCAAATGTCCTCCATCTTCAGTATGAGATATAGGTAAAGCATATTTTCTCACTGCTTCCATCAGCTATAGATAATATTCTGCTGTCATCTCTCTGCTATGATACCACTTTATAACCCCCTCATATTTATGTTGTTCTTCCTGCTTAATGTTTTGTAAGCCCTCACAGCAACTTGTTACATTTATTTAGTTTAGTTTACTTCTACGGGGTTTGGATGATCAATATTATTATTATTATTACTACTACACATTTCTGATCATAGACAGTATTCTGCTTCCTTCAGCCTTTTAAAGTTGTAAGGAAGTGTTTCATCTTCAGGCATGAAGGAGCAAAAACAAATCTTTTATCATGAAGGTCAGTGAAACTAGGTTTGTTTCCATCTCCATGACTGAATGAAACCCTGACTCTTTGATGACAATGAGACTTCTGCTACCAAGTAAAATGATTCTGTAATTTCACTGTCTTATTTCCATAATATTATATTTTGCTAGGAAAAGAAAAGTCTCTTACCTTTCTGCTGTTCTTGAAAATAATACTTTGATTTTCACAGTGTATTTCCAGAGGTTTCTCAACTGTTATTTGCCATTAATTTTGTGTTTAGTATTCTAGCATTATGCATAAATAATTAAGTTTACCTTATTCAGGATAATTTAACTTACCATTCAATCCTGTGTTTTTAGGGAAGGACAATCTGCCTCTTTTATTCATGCATATAGTGTGTCCCCTCTCTTTGAGGGATTACAGACGCAGCCTTATTGGCCAGATTTTTCTCCTGCTTAATATACTGAATAGACCATCCAATCCCTCTCCTTCAAAACATTTCTAGATGGTGATTTAGAGAAGCATTCTAGCTTGTTAACTATTAACCAGCAAATGTACCTATCCATTACAATTACTGGGTTTATGGTATTGCAAAATTTCTAAGGAGGCCTGAAAATACTTTTGTTATCTCCATTTCCCTCCCAGCTATGCCTGATTCTGTGCACAGATCATGATCTCTCTATTTTTCAGTTCTGCATATATAGTGACGGAGATAACAAGAGTTCAGGCTTCTGCTCAGCGCATTTTATGCAGAAGAGATTCCAATGAAGTCAGCAGGATCAGTCATTGGTGGGTCCCCTTGTTCTACATCCATTTTTGAACCATTTGCTCCTAACCCCGTTCAAAGTTTTACTCTGTATATTTAAGAAAAACCTTTGAAAAATTATGTTCTGTGTATTCTTTCTGGGAACACCGACTCCCTTGTCTTTTAGGTGTGTAGAGAAGGGCGGGCAGGAAATGATGAAGATTTGTAATCATAAGGGAATTTGATAATTGTTTCCAGCAATAGATTGGGTCAAGAACAAAAGTAGTAAGACAGTCTTTGGGTTCTTTGGGTATGTTTGCTGTGTTTGCTGTGTAGTTTAGAGATAACTGAACTATATTTAACCCAGATAACTTAAGTACCTTCAGCACTCTAACCTGACGGCACAGAGCTCAGCTGTGCTGATTAGGTGTATGTAAAAAGAATGACAGTGTCGGGTCTCTGCAGTGGATGATCCTATCCAGCAATAACAGATCACATGAATCAGTGTATTGATATCTACCTTTGATTTTGTGGTTAAATTAATGAGGATAATGCAATATACTGAATCTCTGAGGGTCTGGCATTTTTTCTTTTGCAGAATCTGAAGCAGTTTAAAAACTCTTACATTCACAGAATTGTTTATGTTTTATAATTCAAGTGACCAGTGTAGATTAGTGTTGGCTGTTCCTCTCATATTCTTCAGACAGGAGAATCATGTCCTTCCCTGTACAATCATGTATTTCATGTTCCAAATGGCGCTTGAGATCTGCTATTCCACTGGCTGCCTAGTATATAGGGCAAAAGGGACATTATGTATTTTTCAGAATATATGCAAAAGAAACTAACTGCTGTAACTGATCTCCTTGTCTTTGCTTCTCGTTGCAAACAGAGCTGTTTAGCAAAAGTGACAGTGCTTAACATTCTGACGCCAACCTTCTTAAAAATGGAATTGAATTTCTGTCAAGTACTGTCACACTTGCTAAACAGCTGTGTATATGAGGGTGACCTTGAATACCCAGATTTGAGTCTCTGCTTTCACTGTTAGTTCTTCTGCATTGATAGGATCTCCTAAGACCAATTCTTCAGTTTGACAGTCCAGATCATACACTGTGCACAGTTGTAGGAGCACAAACAGAAGAACCAGCTGTGGAGAAGGGCTGGAGAGTAGAGAGATCTCCAGTCAGCTGTGGACCCCTGTCCCTTTTGGGGGCTGGGTACAAATGGGTATGCAGCATGACTGTCTCTGCTTTGGCTTTGCCAAGCTGGTGTAATTACTGCTGGGAGCTTTTAACCAGACAATTTAAGTTCCAGTTTAAACTGAATCATGTTCTATAACCAAGTGGAGTAAAAAATTGGCATGCCTCGACCAATTCAGCTAGACTGCAAGATTGGTTACCTAATATTTACTTTTTCTCTTTCACCTAAAATTTTTAACGATATGGGAGACACTGGTGGACTGGAACTGTGGTGGTGTTGGTTTAGATTGGAGTTCTGAGCAGGTAATATATTTTGTATTGCTGAATGTTTGTAGAATCAAAAATTTCCTTAATGATGTTTGTTTCCCTTCCACTAATTCTGTTTGACTTTCTGTTGCTGTAGAGTAGGAGAAGGGAGGCCTCTCAAAAAAATACTCTGATATGAGCAGGAACAAATAGAACTGTGCACTCTTTGCAGAGGACCACATAAAGTTTCACACAGGAGAAACAACATACACTTTCCTTATAAACGCAGTCAGTAGTACAGCACCTGCTCTTCTTGGAAGGTGAGAGGTGAGTTAGCAAGTGATGTGATCTTTAGCTTTCCTGTTAGTTCCTTATTATTGGTAGTGCATGGACCAACCCTTGTTACTCTCATCTCAGCAACATGGACACACACCTCTTGCACGCACCTCCTCTGAGCCACAACCATTTGTTGTCCTCCACTTCTGTATTCTCAGTATACAAGCACAGTCTCTGAGCTTCAGAAAATTGTGCAGATGAGGAGAGGAGGGAGTTACCACTTAAGCATTCACCATTCATGAGCCTGTCTTTTGTCCTTCACCTTTCCCTCCAGCCTATCATGAGACACAGTTGAAATGAGATCCTCCTCTGAAGAGGCAGATATCATCTGATTCTTAAAATACTTTTTGGCCATGATAACTTTCTAGTGAATTGTTTATTGTAGTATTTCTTTGCTGTTAACCATTTCTTATCTGCCATTCCACTGTTCCTCAAATAAAAGCAACGTGAAGTGCTTTTTGAGTTTGCAACAAATATTTATTTAACAAAATGGATGCCACCAACATATCTCCAAAATGCAGGTATGTATAACAAATGTAACAACAGTTGGTTTCCAAAATGAAATCAACATCAAATTTAAGGCAGGATATTCTGTGAGTTTTCATGCAAGAGCATATTCAAATGTTCCTTTATCCAACCCCTCAACTTCATCTTCCCACGTAGAAGAAGGCATACTACTGTAGGGATCTAGCAAGATTTTGAAGCATCTGATAATTAGAAGTCCCAAGAAAACACACAAAATCCCCACAAAGGCAAAGCCAGTTTTTTGCTCTAAAGTCAGAGGGAAGGCAGACATTTCGTTGACACTCATGCTGGCTGAATTGTTGCTGCAGTAATTACTGTTCATCATTGGGCATCACATTCTGGTGACTCTGTGGGATTTTCACCTCTATTGGTTCTTTGCCTGCATAGAAAAGTAGAATCTTGGTTAGGTCTAAATGGGGTGTGTATATCTGAGTTGTAGCATATGAACATTTGGAAATGAAAATCAGCTTGGATTTTAATAGTGTCCTGTTGTTTTTTCACATTTAAATTAATGTGATAAAATTGCAACTTTTAGCCTCTACACACTATCCACTTACTGGCCTCTGTTATGAGACAGCAAACTCACAGTTTTCTGGCTTTCTATTTCCTCAAAACAGAGCAATTTCAGCACATGGCTGCTGCAAACAGTGTTTTGTCAGACGGGGCACAAGCCTACAGATTCTGATTAGGCAATACTCACCAAGGTCTCCATCTGGAAAAACCAGTATGTTTTCTGAAATGGCTTTACATCTCAGTCCTTAAACTAGTTAAACTCGCATTGACCTCAAAGGCAGTTCCAGCCAAATAACATGGATTTTGCTCATGTAATTTAGCTTATAAATCTAAATAAATAGATCCAACTTGTAAAATAAAGCACTGTGTGTGCAATTTTAGTGAAGTCTTGGGCTCTATTTTCAGAAAAATGCTGTGTGCATTTTCAGCTTGTAAGAAAGTAAGCATATTGGTAAAATTGCCCCTTCGCCTTCCTCTATACATGTCCACTCTTGTGTATGAGGAGAGATTGGTGGGAGAAGAGATAATGGAATTAAATTGCCTTCCCCTAAATCTTGCTCTCTTTTGTTTCTTCTCGTTAGTCTTCCCCATTAAATACATACATATCCTGCCATTTTTACAGGTATAGTAAACACCAGGTCTGAACATGCTCCTCATGGAGCTCAGGGGACTGACCCTGATGTGTGTCCTATGGAGGCAGGATGCTCGAGCATCTCCACCTTGCCATTGCCACCAGGAGAGCTCTGTGTGTTTCCAGCCAGGAGAGACTTTTATTTTTCTCTTTTTAAGGAGATCTTATGTATAGATTTTAGTTGGGGGTGGGAATTGTTTTGCTTTATTTTAGGTTTTCCATCAGATATTGAAATCACATCTTTCATTTTTCTCTATAGACAGCAGGAGAATTGGAAGGACTGGGACATCAGAAGTGCCAAAGGACAAAGGCATTTTTATTCTAGGGTTGCAGCTTGAGGTTTTTTGGCTATTGTTAACACCTATTTAACTAATGTGCCTCAGGGGAAAACTCTTTTTGTTAACAATCCAACCGTTTTTCCCCCCAGGGAATTCCCAGTATCCATTTATTTCTTGGCAGAGTAATTAGGCCACTCGGAGCTCTGGGCTGCCATGGCTACACTGCTTCAGGTACCTGTGCTGCTAGCCCGTTTAAAGGGAGCTCCAGTATCTCTACTCTGTACTGCAGTCATGGCTGAAACTAGCCATATCCTGAGTCAGCCTACAATTAATAACGACAGAAAAAGTAAAAATAAGATTTGGTATTCCTGAGAAGACAGAAATGGACAGAACTTTCATCTTGTTTGGTGTTTCCTTTCTCACATCAAAATTTGTGGGATTTTTAAATATTATCCTAAAGAATGAAAATTTTAAAACAAGTATTAAATGGGCAAGGCACAAGTCTTTCTTTTTGCAATAACCCTCAATATAGTAGGTATTAAATAATATCGTTTTCTTTACACATTTTGTCTTTACACAGTCTTTACACATTTGCCAGAGCATAACAACCAACGGTCTGTTTATTCCATAGAGCTGTGTATGAGATCCTTCGTTATTTTGAATGATATTCAGTTCTTTGGGTCATGCTGTTTTAATTCCTGTGAAGTTGGAGAAAAGATCCAGATATAGCCTATGTGAATTAGAAGTAATGTCAACAACAATCAATATTTATTTTCTGAAAATATATCACAGATAAAGCCCACCTGCTGTACGGATTTTCATTGGGCATACTTCCAATTTTTCCATTAAGTTTGACCTTATGTAGGAAAAAAAAAATCACA